TCGTTAGTTAGCTTGGAGGCCATTGCTATTAGCTTGGAGGCCATCGCAGTTAGCTTGGAGGCCATTGCTATTAGGTTGGAAGCCATCGTTAGTAGAATTTACGAAAGAGTTGATGACACAACATACTTGGAGGTTCTCCAGAGGGATCCCCAAGGCCACTCGTCAGGGTCCCCAGAATACAGTAGATTCTTTTCATTGTTTTTCGTTGTGGTTTGGCCTGATTGCAGTTTGTTGCATTTCAGACTTGACGCAATTCAAGCTTGCAAGGTACACGTGACAGCCACTTTTGGACGCTCGTGCCCAAGCGCCAGGGCTGATTGTTTCAAGCCGCCAGTACGCCGGCACAACTCAGGGCTGCCGGCACTTGGTCGAAAGCGGGAGCAGGTCCCTCAGTCAAGTTGTGCACAGAAAAGAAGGGATTTATTGAAATACAAGTCAGCACACGATGATCAACATGCGGCAAATTTTGTGGTGCTGGAAACTCCTAACTCTTTTTGCTGTAAGTGATGTTGTTTGTTCCGCTGAGTTTCACCATTTGTTGTGGCTTTTTGGTCGTTCAAACACCACAAAGTGGGTGCGCAACGTGCAGGTTTGCCGTCCTTTGTGGAGCCGACTCGGGGTCTGAGGAGCCTCCAAAACATTCAAAAACCGTACTGTGAAAGTTATAGGTACTGGATATCTGGCAAAGCAAACTTTTCCAACAATTAGCCATGAAAAATGTGTTAGGACGCAGACACAGGTTCATGCCTGAGATTTGGACATGGGAAATCCATGGGATGGGTGATCCTTTTTTTGGAGGATCTTCATTAGATTTTCGCTGCGGCATGTTTTGGCTTTGCTCATGCTTAGGTCCTGTCAGTGTTGAGAGGTCTAGGCCTAAGAACAAAGGCCGGCCGGTTTTCGTTTGTGTTTTGAATTTCTAGTAACAAGTGCCTTACTAGTAGTAACAAGAAGCTACTAGGAACAAGTGCCACGCTACTAGTAACAAGTGCCTTACTAGTAGTAACAAGAAGCTACTAGGAACAAGTGCCACGCTACTAGTAACAAGTGCTTTACTAGTAGTAACAAGAAGCTACTAGGAACAAGTGCCAAGCTACTAGGTCCTGTCAGTGTTGAGAGGTCTAGGCCTAAGAACAAAGGCCGGCAGGTTTTCGTTTGTGTTTTGAATTTCTAGTAACAAGTGCCTTACTAGTAGTAACAAGAAGCTACTAGGAACAAGTGCCACGCTACTAGTAACAAGTGCCTTACTAGTAGTAGCAAGAAGCTACTTGGAACAAGTGCCACGCTACTAGGAACAAGTGCCACGCTACTAGTAACAAGTGCCTTACTAGTAGTAGCAAGAAGCTATTAGGAACAAGTGCCACGCTACTAGTAACAAGTGCCTTACTAGTAGTAACAAGAAGCTACTAGGAACAAGTGCCACGCTACTGGTAAGAAGTGCCTTACCAGTAGGAACAAGAAGCTACTAGGAACAAGTGCCACGCTACTAGTAACAAGTGCTTTACTAGTAGTAACAAGAAGCTACTAGGAACAAGTGCCAAGCTACTAGGTCCTGTCAGTGTTGAGAGGTCTAGGCCTAAGAACAAAGGCCGGCAGGTTTTCGTTTGTGTTTTGAATTTCTAGTAACAAGTGCCTTACTAGTAGTAACAATGGTTGCTATCAACTCAGACAACCTCAATCTCTCGATTGTCCTTCGTCAGCTTTGGCTCAGGGTCAACACTTCTCACAGGACGCGAACCATGGCAGCCGTGGAATACGCCAGGTCAGGAAGATCAAGTTGCAGCTGCTGTGGCGAGCGCATCGCAGTAGATTCCGTGCGATTCAAGGCTTCATTTTGAAGTTTTGTGTTATTTCTTGCGCACATACGAAACTGAAGGTATTAATGAAGAAGATGCCCCGACAATGTTTTTGGGGTTTGGGATCCTTCGCCCGAATCATACCACGAAATCGGTAGGTTGCCAGGAAATGGCATTGCGTCGAATGCTTTGCCCAGAGTGGCAAGAGGAGCGAGAGGAGTGTTGATGGTGCTGACGACCTGAGCATTGATGACCAACGCATTGTTTCTCAGTTGAAGACATCCAAAAGCTACTAGGAGCAAGGGCATCGCTACTAGTAACAAAGGGCATCGCTACTAGGAGCAAGGACGCTACGAACGGAGCATCGGTCTTTCTCAGTTGAAGACGATTTATAACGGTTTCTCCTTGGAAACTAAGACAAATCCCTTTAGTGAAGATGTTTCGCATTCCAGAGTCGTTTTTCATAAGCTTCTCCACAGGAAAATTCTGGAGTGTGAGATGTCCAGATTTGTACTTAAAGGAAGAAAGAAGAAATGCAAGAATGTCGAAAGAGAAAACATATGAAAAAACAAAGAATTACTGTTTTGTCAAAATGAGGCGCTATTAGGTTGGAGGCCATTGCAATTAGGTTGGAGGCCGTCGCTAGTAGGTTGGAGGCCATTGCTACTAGGGTGGACATTGCTACTAGGTTCTTTGAAGTTTCCTTTAAACATTTGTACTTTGATTCCAAGGTCTCAGAGCTCAGGAAGAGATCACGAAGTGCGTCGGCGCTCCAGCAGGAGGCCGAAGAGCTACGAGCAGTGCGACAATGTGTTCGCGAGTGGTCGAAGAACTACGGAGAGTGCGAAACTAAGAAGGACAAGGGCTAACAAATCTCACACTCAGTCCTTGCTTTGAGGTTCCAACTGATTTCAATAAAACCATGTCGGTGGTGCCATGTTAACATAAATTAACAATGTATATTAGTTGATCCGTTAATATACAGTGTTTGTTTTCTTTATGAAATAGAGATGAAATACACGTTCTACCAGCTGGTAGACTTCTCACACGTTCAGGATGCCGAAAAGGATGAGACTTCCGAGTCCGCTGAATCGCAGTCCACAGAGCTCTCCGAGCTTTGGGCCTTGGCCGAGAAATTGAGGGCCCTAATTGCTACTAGGAGCAAGGACGCTAGCAGCTCCCGGCCACACTACTTGATGGCAGCACTTGAAGCACTGGAGACTTGAATTGCTTCGTACTCGTAGGACTTGATATTTCTTGAACGGGCTTTGCTAAGGGACTTTAGCACGGCCAGGGGCAAAAGGCTCCGAAAAGCTTCCATATTTAGGGCGTGTCAGATCCAGGGGAAGAAGGAATCTGTCACCAAATTTGAGATCCAACGCCGTGCCAAGTGGCTGAACTGGCCGGACATTGGATCTGGATGGATCTGGTGTTTGGGCACGATCAAGGAGAGCATGTGCTTGTGAGCGGGTTGTTCGTGTGCGTGCTTGAGGGCTTGTCAGCCAACATCCTTGAGGCCAAGTCTAAAACGACTTCTGTTGAATTCCGGATAATCTTTACCATGTCAAGAAGAGTACAGTTTTGGTTGTCGCCTGCCGAAACTGAGGCCACAGAAACGTGCGCGGGTCAGGGCCTCGTTGAATGTGAAATCCGTATCCATGACCTCGTAGACCCAAAGAACTCTTTGGCTGTTGACATATACGGAGCGTGTTACTCAGCGGTTCTGACGAGGTCATCAGGCGAAAAATCAGTGGCCTGGTGGCAAACGTGTCCGAAAGACAGAACAGTCGAAGGACGTCAACACAACGAGGGAAGAAATAAGGAATATGAAGAAATTGATGTGTTTAAAACAAATACTGTATTACTATATATGATATACTGTATATAGTGTGTATATATATATATATGATATACATAGGACGCCACTAGGGGCTCCTGGCCATACTACTAGTAACAAGAAGCTACTAGTATTTGATATGATATACATGGGAGTTGATCGAAAACCCCGTGTAAGGAGTTTTATATAAAACAGCCTTTCAGATGTTGTTAGAACCATCCGCGAAAGATTCGCGATGAGGTTCGCTAAAGTATCTTTTTTTTCCGCGAAAGATTTATCGAAGGTCATCGCTTTCATACGTTTTCCTTTCTAAGGGACTGACAAAGAATAGAAATAGAAGGCAATCTTCCGGCAGAGCTGGTGGGCGGAAGTGTCCCCATATGTCACAGACTAACGAATTGAAGCCTCAATATTTCCGTGCCCAGCCCTGGCAGTGCGTAAAGGATTCTCCGATTCCAGTCCCCACTGTCATAGACAAGCAACCTGAGTAGGCGCAGCCCTGACAGTGAGGCAACGACCTGCAGCTGCTCTGACGGGCTGTGCAGATGTTTGCATACGGCTTCCCCGGGAAAGCGCCAGTGAAATTTCGCGAAAGATCCGCGAAAGTTTCGCGAATGTGCCGCTAAAGTCCAGGTCCCCAGCTTTGAGGCCCCCCCAACATTCCCCAAGCTGCATCACCCTGTGTTGGTAGCTGGCACGAGGATTGGGTTGAGTTGCTCCACAGATGCTGCAAGTGACCCTGAGTAGCTGTGGAAACATTCAACTGGTCATGCTGCAAGATGTCTGTCCCTATGACATGTTCCGGCTCATGTTAGCTAGAGATGGTTGTAGGACCATGCTTCGCGATGAGGCCGCGAAAGATCCGCGAAAGATATCTTTTTTTCCGCGAAGAATGGCCATTCCAGGATGAAAGAATATTGATCAACCACCACATATTAATTGCATGTGTTTTATCGTGATCTTTTTGGACCAAGGCTTCGCAGCGCCCGCCCCGGAGCCCGCCCCGGAGCCCGCCCTGGAGCCCGCCCTGGAGCCCGCCGAGGGCGTGGACACTGGAGAGGCTCAAAGTGTCACAAGTGCCGCTTGATGTTTCTACTAGCAAACATTGTTCCTAGTTAGCGTCCTTGCTCCTAGTAAGGCCAGGAGCCCCTAGTAGCTTCTTGTTAGTAGTAAGAATGCTCCACCCTAATATCGCTTCCTAGCAATGGCCACCCTAAGAGCGATGGCCTCCAACTCCAACCTAATAGCTGGTATATGACAAATGACGAGATTTGCTGTGTCACCAGAGAGGCTGCATTCGTCACTCCACCGAACATATTCCCAATTCTGGCGCTTAACATAGCCCAGCTGAGCGAATGACCTCACTATGAACGAAGCCTATGCTCTACCAGGGCTAAAAGACATGCAGTTTGACCAGATTGATGTTGCTAATAGGTCCTGGCCCTTCGTACTTGCAAAAGGACCTTGATTTGGCTTCCTCAGGTTTGGACTCCTCACCCACCTCACCCGTTGCGTTTTCAAGGCCTCTATGCCTTGACACACCACTTGCAGGGTTTGCATGCCCTTCAGTCCCTCTACTAGTGTTGCTTCAAGAAGACTAAACATTTGCCCGGGAATGTCAAGCTCTACTCGTTACAAGCCACTCACTTCGCCTCAGGTTTGTAATGCCTTACTTCTGCGATGCCCGTGTGAATTTCCACTATGAAATGGGGAGGGTTAAGGTACTTTATAAAACAGATCATGCTTCCGTCATGGGTGACGTCGAACCCTCCATTTCATAGTGAGAACATGCTTGTTTACAGACTGTTTAAGTTTCAAACAATGTAGATGTTCCAAGCGTGTGAATATAGAGGTGTGCTTGGGGAGTGTGAGATGCTGGCTTCAGTTCATCTACGGGTTTGTTCACAGTATATGTTGGAATCCTGACAGCGTGTGGAAAAGAATCCTTGGCTTTTTGATGGTATGTGCGCAGCTCGTCCTGAATACTGTAAACTTTTACAATAGAGAATAATGGCGATCAAATGGGCTAACTTAGAGGCTCAAGACGTTTATAACATCTATTAACAGTTAGGTTGACCTCCTCATTTCATACAAACCAAAACAGACAACCTTACACCTGTCAATTTATTTACGGTGTTGTCCTAACCAATTCATATGAAATGGGGTGAGGGACCCCCCCAGAATTCACACCGGGATCTTCTACGCACGAATTCTTTCGGTTTCCTTGCACCAATCCTAAAGAAAAGGGTGGTTTTAAAAATGGCTTTGCAAACTTTCAGTGGCTTTGCATGTTCCAGTTTTCTTGTCGCTCGCCCCAGCGGATGGCAGGAAGCTGAAAGAAAGCTCGAAAGCGAAGCTCCGAAAGATGCTGAAGCACAAGCTCCGGAGAGGGCGAAGGTTTGAGGTGGGTGGAAGGATTGTTCAGGTAGTTACTGAGTTGACATGCCTTCAATTAAGTCTAAAGCGGTCTCTTTAGAGGTCCAGAGAAGAAAGGCATGTCAATGTTTTGTTATTTATCATGCAAAATAAGTATTTGGCAGACGATGGCCTTCGGAAGGTGTCAGAAGTCTTCTTGTTCAATTAGACCTCTTGTAAAGCAGAAGGCATTCGGGCATTTAGAGCCTAAACCCTTAAAGGATTAGGCGTGTACCTTTTGCTGAATGCTTATATATACTGTAGTGTAACGTATATATAGTGTAATATGCTCATCGACAATGAGAAGACCTTGTCATTATGTGTTTTCCTCAACAGTGTCCTTCTCCTGACAAGTCGCCACATGCATTGTGCCCTTGTCCAGGAGGGTGGTTTGCCCGCGCCAATGCGAAAAAGAAAGAGGAAGAGGCAACAACTAAACCTGTTGAAAGTAACAAGAAGCTACTAGGAACAAGTGCCACGCTAGTAGTAACAAGAGCCTTACTAGTAGTAACAAGGACGCATCAGCAAGACAACCATTGGCA